CCCTCCCCTCCCCTCCCCTCCCCTCCCCTCCCCTCCCCTCCCCTCCCCTCCCCTTCCTCCCCTCCCTCCCTCCCCTCCCTCCCTCCTTTACTTCTCCCTCATTTTGCCTCCCTCTCCTCTCTCCTCTCCTCGCCTCTCCCTCCTTCCAACCTCAGCTCTCCTACATCTCCACTTCGCCGTCGCTTTCCTCCTCTTCTTTGTTGAGTTTCTGTCTCAGGCGACTGTCGGCGACTGCTGCGGGAAGCTCAAAGGGAGAATCATGCCGTGAGCTTTTGGCAGGAGGAGAGGAGGTGCTAAGAGAGCGGCAGGCACAAGGGCGGGTGGATCGAAGTGCTCGAGGCCGTCGATGCTCGCTGCAGTGTGGGGACTTTGAAGCAGGGGATAGAGAAGATTCATATCCTCGCAGGGAGGTGAGGGAGGGGACGGGACAAGACGGGAGGGGGCGGGAGGAGAGGGGAGGGGAGGGGAGGAGCGTGATTTGTGCTGAGCCATCGCCGTATCGAGCAGGTTCAGAGACTTGAAGAGGAACGCGGAGGCTATGGAGGCCGCAGTAGCGAGGGAAGCATACTCTGCCTGACATCTCTTCGTTTTCAAAGCATGAAATGCCAAACTAGGAACTAAAAAGTGCAACGCTCTTCCCATTCTGATCCGTCTAACAACTCATGTGAACTAACAAATGAGAGAGTTGAAACGGTTCAGCCGCTGCCCTCCCACCGGATCCTTGACGTTCGTCCTCGCCTCCTCTGCTGCTCTGCTGCTCCTCTTGAACCTCGTCTCCAGACACTTCTCAATGCTGGGCCGGATCACGATGAGCTGGTTCACCTTGGAGTAGACGATGTCCGCTCGCAGCTGTCGGAAGCAGAACCAAACATGCGGCCGCTGCTTCTGCGTCGCTGTGAGCACCTGACGACGAGTCGAGCTACTAGCATGACAGAACCACTCGCGGGTGGCGAAGATGAGGGAGTAATGGTTGCGGAAGTGGATGAGCAAACTGTGACCCGCGTTCAGCTCCTCCTTGACCATCTCCCACTGCTTCACCTCCACCTCCTCGTCATCGTTGGGAGAGCACCGCCCTCCCTCCACGATTTCTTCCCTGCAGTTCCAATTCCCCAAGAGCCTTGCGGTCTCAACAGGAGACATGCTGTCCGACGAGTCGTCGCTCGCGTCGTCACTGTCCTCGTCCTCGCAGTTGACGATCTCGTTCCCCATCCTCTTGAGCAACGGAGGGCACTTGACCCCGGCCGTGTCCTCGACCTCCTTCGTCTGGACGCACAAAGATTTGCTGACCGCATGGCATGCTCTGAGCAATCTAGGGTTTCCAATCTTCCTCGTGCTGGGAATCAGCCCGCAAGACCCTCTCAGGGCGGCATGGCAGCTGATCCTCCCGGCTTCCCTTGCCCACTTGCAGTAGTACTCGATCACGTCCTTCTCCTGCACGTAAACTTGCAGCTTGTCGTCAGCTGGGGAGAGCCTTCCCTCGAAGGAAGGATGGTTCAACACAGCATTGAGAGCTCCTGCCACTGAAGCCGCCGCGCAAGTCTTGTGCGACTGCTCGATCCAACCGAAGAAGATGCAGTCGTTCACGTGGAACTCAACGTCTGCCGTCTCGTTCGGCTCAGGGCCCATCGAATCCTCCTGGTCATGCATACAGCAAGATCCTTCGCATTGAGTGTTGTGATGATCTGTGGCAGGCATGTCTTCCCGGATCAAGTTTGCCATGGAGGGGAAAAAGTTTAGAAACTTGGGATCCGTGAAAAGCTTCTCTTTGGCAAACTTTGCCAAGTCTGCAGCAGGGATCTCATAGTATCGCATGAGCAGAGTTTTGCAAGGTTTGTGATAAAAAGTCCCGTCGTTTCGCTTCTGCAGCTGTGGAACGCTCTTGTTTCCCTCGAGATCCTTTTCTGCCCAACGAGTCCAACACTTGGAGCAAACAAAGGGGTTCCTCACAATATGGACTCGTTTCCTGGGTTTCCTCTTCCTCTTATCAGTTCCATCCTTCCAGTCGTCGAATCTCACTTCCAAAACTCCATCCGCCTCCCTCGAACTCGGCAGTGTGGTTGGCATCTCAAACCAGAACGAAGGAACACAAGAAGATAAGACCAAGTGAGAGAACTAAGTGGTTTTTGAAGCCGGAATCCACTCTCACTTGCCTTTCAATCTATCCAGCACCAAGAATCCAAGTAGTAGATCCTTTTTTAACCTCCGAGACTCCTCAGGATAGAGATATGCGCTTAGGGCTGCAAGAAGTCAGTTGAGGACAGCAGGGATAGCTAGAGCCCCTGTGTAAACCTCAGGTACCTCAACTCAACTATCAGCAGGTCTCGTTCTCGATTCTCTTACTCTATCCTCGTATCCTCCTCCTCTCCTGCCCTCCTCGCTTCCTCCCTGCCGGTGTCGGCTACCGTCCACATGCGCTCGCCCATGGCCGTTGAGAGAGTTTTACTCACTGGGGAGTAAAATATTTATAAGAGTACGTCATCTGTAGGGAAGGTCAACTACAGAATGTCAGCGTACAAATGGATTTAAAATCACTTTACTGGTACTGACTTATAATACATCTACTACTTTTAATAAAGAAACGGCTATTAATAAAATATTTTAATTCTGGCGCCTCGGCCTCGCCGTTTTCCATGACGTTTACTCAAAGTTAAGTTAAAAATCAGTACGAGGACAAAGACGGACGGGTGATCGGACCGTGACTGAGAGTCGGGCTCGTTCAATACTACTTGTAGGCTAGTCAAGTTAGCTCACTGAGTAACCGAGTCACCTTAGAGTCACGCGGCCGACTCGGCCGGGCGCCGAGGGCCGGGGCACCGGGCAGGCTCGCCGTATGACCTGTGCCGCTCGACTCTCCTGAATGTGGGCCTCTGGGAGTCGGCCTCGCAACTTGGCTGAGTCATCAGTAGTGACTGGGACCGTGCGAAACGAAAGATCAGTCCGATCTTGAGTTGGAGATACGCCGGTCAAGTTCACTGAGCTGCCTATACGTTACGTCCCCTCGCAGCACCGGTACCGTACTCATTACTAGTAGACTGTCTTCATGGTTACCCCTACGGTACTCCGTGAGCATTTTGCTCCTCCCCGACTCTAGCGCGAGCCATTCCCCCCCTCACTACTTCGCCGTCTTAGCACCTCCTCACTCCTTCATCATCTTAGCGCCTCCACATCTCTGACCATCTTCTCAGCAACCTGGATGAAGGATGGCTGATCTCTCGTCTACACAAGCATCTCTCGATCCCCTGCAAGGAGCTGCTGCCATGAGCAACTACGTCGCATGCCTAGGCTCACAAGCACCATGGGACTTCTACATCATGTCTTCTTCCACATGCGTATTGCTTGTCGGATGCTGGGTAGGAGCCAAGATCCTGGACGCGGTGTTGACCAGAGCATGTTCCAAGTATGCGCCTTTGGACTCTAAAACCAAGAAGAACATATGCGTCTATTTTCTGGAAGTCCTCGTCACGTCGCCAGCGTTTTTGTACTGTATCAGCGTCATGCCACACAGTCTCGACATATCTTTGGTTGGAAAGCAGAACGCAACGATAGAGCAGCTCAAAGCCGCGGCGACCATGGGCAGTATGGTCATTCACTTGTACGTGTTTGAGATCATCTACAAAGAAAGGATCGACTGGATTCTACTCTCACATCATGTCATGACCATCCTTGTCGGTGCAATCCTCTGGAACGCCTTATACTACACCCTGAACGTGGTAATGCACTTTCTATGCACACTTGTTCTGCGTGACTGCGATCTCTGACGTGCTGTGTCATGTCAGACTATCATTGCTTATTTGGCAACGAGCCTCCTCTTCTCTGCAGTGACAGAGCAGCCAACGTTCATCGCACTCATCATGTATCGCCTGAGCGAGTCCCGGCATGTCAACAGCGTGCTTCGCTTTGCTGCCGTCTCCTCTTGCCTTACCAAGATGTATGCTTTCTGCCTCACCTGGGCGATGTACTACCGTGAAGTGCTGCATCCTCCAAAGATGATTAAGAGCGTCAGAGGCAACTTCGACTGGGAGTTGTTTCTCGAGATTTACATCCCAGTAGCAAGCATCCTGCTGATTGTGCTTCAGGTTCTGAGCATTTGCCTTGTTTTGTTTTGAGACAATTCAATCTCACTTGACCTCTGCAGCTGAAAGCCAACTACATCCTATACCTTCTCAGCCTGAAACACACAAGACTATTCCGAAAACAACGTGCTAGTCTCCGATTGGAGGCTCAGCCAGGAGATGTCAAACTTGTGCAAGTCAGCCAACCCGGAGGAGGAGGAGATGCTTCCTTCGTTGAGGTGGTGGTGACGGCAAGGTCTCCAGATACCAACAGGTCTTCGCAAGACGAGGAAGCAGAGAGCCAGAGTCAACAGCAGCATCGTGATCATACGATGGGCTCTCAGGATAACTTTAACAGGCCAGTGTGTGCATGACGGTCGGGCGGCAGCGCGCCTCCGAGTCCGATCGGACCAGCAAACGGACCTGACTCAGTGGTACTCAGCCCCTTAGCTGACAGCCTGTACTGAGTAAACCAACCATCCATCATGGCATCGCATCCGACCTTCACTTGTCTATACTAGAGTCTAGCTGCTGCCACTTCAATGAGTCATGATGCAACTCAGTTGGCAACGTAGCTGGCTCCCATGGCTTTAGTACGACTGATTGAGGCAGTGTGTGGTACGCTTTAATTCTAAAGACATAGCCAGGCTGGTACGAAAGATGAATTTATTGTACAATTTTCAAGCCCACCTCAGTAATATTTGTACCTTTGGAACATTACATATGTTAGAAATCGGTGTACCTTCACTACCATTCAATTTTAAAAAACTAAATCAGTTTTATATGGTTGTAGGCGCCGGCACTCCCCTTGCCTCGGTCTCCCGCCAATTTTCACGTGCGAGAAGAGCGCCTTCCGGTGGGGGTATTCCCTAACCTCAATTTATCCATAGTACCCGTTATATCTCATAGATAGGTACGGGTATGCTGTCCAATCAATGACAAAATCACCCCTCGTTTACGAATTTCGACCGCTAGCTGCTCTCAGCATGGGCAACAAGAAGGGCCACAAGGTATGGGAGGGGGGGAGGAGGACGCGAGATGAGCAGAGAAGATTCTGAAGAGCGACATGATAGAAAGAGAGCAGAAGATGCAGAGCGAGAGAAGGAGTGATTGTTAGCAGGATTGACAGAAGGCGATGATAGAAGGAGGAACGGATATGAAGGAGGCGTTGTCAGGGCTGCTGGAAAAATCCAAAGAGCAGGAGGAGGGAGCCGGGAGAGAACAGCACGGCAAGAAGTGATTGACTGTAGCTGATGATGAGAGTGTGATTGATCGGTCGAAGTAGCCACACAATGATGAAAGAGGCGCACGAACGTCAGAAGGGGGTTTGAATTGGAAGGAGGGGGGAAGAGCTGGATGGAGAGTTAAGTGCAGGGAGGTTGGCTTCGTGAAGCATCCCACTTCTTGTCGAGATGTGCAAGATCAACTGCTGCCCTTGCTCACATCAACTCCGTTGCAGGATGCTAAGCATGCCAAGAAGAAAGAGGAGCAAGACAGTGAAGAGGACGAGGAGGTCTCGGGGGCAATGTCCAACATGGACCTGAAGAACCAGTCTCCTGCTGCTCCCTTCACCTTCGCTCCAGCTCCCAAGGGACAGTCGCCTTTCTCCTCTTCGGAGGGGAAATCAGTCTTTACCTTCCCAACGCAACCGGCAGAAGGGGGGCAGGGAAACTTCACGTTTAACTTTGCGCCGGGTAAGAAGGGGAAAGGCGGGGACGATGACGACGAGGACGATGATGAGGACGAGGAGGACGACGACGAGGAGGAGGAAGATGATGATCGTGGAGTGGAGGAATTTATCGCCAGCCTCCCGGAACCAGTACAGGAATGCGTCGCGGCTTTGAACAAACTTGACGAGGAGGTTTGCTCGTTGCAGTCTGAATTCAGGAAGGAACTTCGTGAGCTCGAGAGGAAGTATGAGCAGAAGGAGAAGCCTCTGTTCGCCAAGAGAGCAGATATCATCACAGGCCGTGCCAAGCCTGAGAATGCTGAGAAGGCGGATGGCACTGGAATTCCTGATTTCTGGTTGGGGGCTATGAAGAACTGTGGAATCATCGGAAGCAACATCACCGAAAAGGACGAAGTGATTCTCAAGTTCCTCTCTGATATCACCGCGGAGACTCTGCCTGAGGAAGTAGGAATCGGTTTTTGCCTCAAGTTCTACTTCCACAAGAACGAGTTTTTCACCAACGAAGTCCTTACAAAGACCTACTTCCTTGCCGACTCGTCGGACGACTCGATCCTTGAGAAGGTTGAGGGAACTGAGATCGCATGGGAAAGCGGCAAGAATGTCACCGTCAAGATCAAGAAGAAGAAGCAGCGAAGCAAGAACGGCAAGGGAACCCGCACAGTCACCAAGACGGAGCCTTGCGAGAGCTTCTTCAACTTCTTCAGCCCCCCCCACATCCCTGACCCCGAAGACGATCCTCTGGACGATGATGAGCTGGAGAGCCGACGCATGGAGCTCGAGTCTGACTACGAGATGGGCATCGCGTTCCAGGAGCGCGTCATCCCTCACGCCATCAAGTGGTTCACTGGGGAGGCCGAGGACGACGACGACGACGACGACGATTATGACGATGAGGAGGAATACTTTGACGAGGTAAGGAGGTTGTAGCAGTTGTGATCATGCTGAACGTTGCCGCAGGAGGAGGAGGAGGATGAAGAGGACGAGGACGAGGCTCCTCATCGCGGTCATGGAGGTCACCGTGGAGGTGGCAGAGGAGGAGGAAGGGGCAAAGGCAAGAACGGGGAAGAGTGCAAGCAGCAGTAAGGTGTTGCCATTTTGGTTCAGATCGCTCAGTCAGTTTGACGAGTCTGCTGCACCGCTGGCAACGCTAAGGACGAGGATGGTTCTTAGACTGTCATTGTGACTATTACAAGATCAATATTTCAGAAAAGAAAACTACATCTTCCTCCCTCCCTCAGTCATTCTGATCCCTCTGCCCTCCTCCATGTTTCCAAAGGGACCACCTTGCCTGCGTCTCTCAATCACGGGGCAACTTGCCTGCTGTCAAGTCAAGTCTCGAAGGAGAAAAACAAGGGAGCAAATCGGGGACTAGTGAAGGAGTGGTCCTGCCTCACCTTTACGCTTCAGCCTCTTCATCTGGCTCTTAGACAGCACAGGAGCGCTGCCAAACGGAAGGTCCTCCTGCTCCTGCACCTCGTCGATCGAGGCATACCTGCCCCCTCGAGGTTTGAGGTTGACTGGGAGCGAGTCAAGTCTCGATAGCGAGGTTGTGAGGGAGAGGAGGGGAGGGAAGAGTAAGGAGAGGGAAGAAGAGAGCGGGAGAGGGAGCAAGAGAGCGGTACCTTGTGTGCCCTCGACGACTCCCGCCTCCTCTTTCTTGGCATCAGGTGTGTCATGGAGCCCAAAACTGGCTCGCCGGAAGGGCTGGAAGGACTGCTTGATGTCCCGTCCGTCCACCACCTGCGGGAACTTGACGGCATCAGCAGCTTGTGCTGTCTTGAGCTTCTGCACCACGTCCGGGCTGATCGATCGATCGCCAAACCCGCGGGCATCGTAGGGTCGCCACTCGGCCTGGTAGAGCTCGTGAAAGTCCTTGAGCTGGTAGAGGAGCGTGCCGTCATATTTCCACAGGCAGACTTCGTTGTCTATCCTCAAACCAGGGAACGTGACCGCCGTCATGAAGTAGCGCGAGCATGGCGAGAAGCTCCTGTAGATTGAGCAACGAGCCGTCGCCTGCCCGATCTTCTGCCTTTGCATCTTGTCCCAGAACTGCATGTGCCCGGCCAAGTTGCCGAAGCCGCCGATGCACAAGAATCTGCCGTGAGGAGACCAAGTGATAGAGTTGAAGGGGCCGGTGCCGAAGGAGAAGATCGCCTGCCCCTTGTTGTTGAACAGACAAGCTTTCGCCGGCATCATGCCGTAGACCACAATGAACTCGCGAGTGCATGGCGACCAGGCCAAGTCATGGATGGGCCCGTCACGGTCGAGCTGGACGTCAGCAGAAGTCATCAGGTCCATATTGACGTACTTGAGGGTCGTAGTCCCGTAGTAGTTGTTGTTCGTCTTGTCCACAGTCGTCGAGCAAAGAATGAGCAGACACTGACCGTCGTAGGACCACTTGAACGAAACATCCTCAGTCCCGAGCAAGTCAATGGTCATTGACGGGGCATCGACCTCGAAATCTTCCGTCAGGCTGTAGATAAACACCTCCTCCCTCCCCTTCTCAGCATGAAACACCGCGATGTTCACCGCCCTCCTCGACCTCCCATCTGTGACGGCCGTCCCAAACGCGCTCGCAAGCATCAGCTGCCGCACTTCCTTCATCTTGATGACCATGTGAGGCTCCACTTTGACCCCCGACGGGATCTGCCGGAGCTGTACAGCATTCCAATTGTACACCTCGATGCCCCTGATGGTCCGACGGCAGCAAATCTCGTCGTCTGCCGTCCATTGGATAGAGGGCCAGTGGTCAGGATCGAAGAGATCCTCTGAGTCGCAGTCCACCATGATGTTGCAGGTTGGGATGTGCCAGATGACCAGGTTCCCGCTCGTCTCCATCACCCGCTCGACCTGCGTCGCTCGGTTGTACGCCCTCCACCTCTTACTCTTGGATGCCCCCTGGAACCACTTGGTGAAGGTCACTAGGAAGTCTCCCTTGGGGGACAGCGCGACTCCCTGGATCGCATCTCCGTCCTCGGACCTGCAGTCATACTCCACCTGGCCCGTCGAGGGATCATGCACCAACACCGAGTCCTGAACCATCTGCACAAGGCGTCTGCCGTCCTTGCTGTAGACTACCTTGCAGTCCTGACTTGTCCCCGCCGACTCGAACTCGTCCATTTGCATGAGAGGAGAGGTCTGGTCCTCCGGATGCAGCTTCGCGTTGACCCCGGAGATCTGACTGCTGAGCCAGGACAAGCTGCACCCGTTGCGATGTCTCAGCAGGATCTGATGCGGCTGAACCCTCCGAAGACTTCCCTGCGAAGGCGGTTCCACAGCACGGTCTACCGGGGAGCCATGGCGGCAGGACATGCTGCTTGCAGGGTCCGTTGTGCGGCTCCGGGCTGTAAATGGAGAAGACGCGTCGAAAGAAGCATGCGCAGATAGCACACATGCTGGCAGCAGGAGGAGGAGACCAGCAGACATGGCGGTTGATCGCAAGGGGATGACGTCGAGGTTCGAGATCTCCCAGTGCTTCGGACTCCTCCTCTTTTCCAATCCTTCCCCTCCCCCTTTTCTCTCTCCTCCTTCCTCTCTCCCCTTCCTCTCGTTTATCTCCTCGCCTCTAGCCTTCGTTTGCCCTGCATGTGCATGCGGACTGAACTCAAAAACCCCATCCCCCCTCAGTCCCACATGCAAGATTCGGCCGGCAGCAGATTCGGCAGACCTTTCGGTGGCACAACATGCTAGTGGCAAGCGGGACGGGCGTGAGCAAGCAAGCAGAGACTTGAAGCGAAGACGAGGAGAGGGAGGGAGGGAGGGAGGGAGGGAGGAGGAGGAGGAGGAGGAGGAGGAGGGGAGAGCAAGGATGGGGTGAGCTTGAGAAACGAGGGCGAGAGAAGTAGATCAGAGAGAAGGCGAGGAGGAGAAAGGTTGTCAACATTCTTTACATGGAGCATTGATCAAATACCAAGAGATTCTTAGAAGAAAGTGAAAGAAATGGGAGAGTGAGCACTTCGCCCGCTTCCATTTCTTGCGTCAACGTCTTCCTTCACGAGTGTTGCATATTTCTCACGGTTTGGAGCAGGAAGAGGAGATGGCAGATGACAAAGAAGAGCAGCAGAAGAGCAGCAAACGGACGAGCTGGAAGCCGACGCGGACAAGCTTCGTCGCTGAGACTCGACAGGAGCCCAAACATGAAGTTCACCCGACGAGCGAATATGAGGTCAAGCTCCCTCGCAAGGTGCCGATCAGCTCGTCCCGCAGGCCCCTCGTCGACATCCTCTCCCACGACGAGCTGTGCAGCCTGTGCCATAACATCCCCAAGATAGAGCTGCATGCCCATCTTTCGGGAACAGTCAAGGAGAGCACGTTGAACGAGCTGGGGAGAGCCAAAGGGCTGGACATCTCGAAGATGAAGTTCACGCTGGAGTCGCTGGCAGCAACAGACTCTCTTGAGCAGACTTGGAAGGAGACGGTCGAAGCCTTCGACAACATCCGCAAGCTCACTGCCTACGACCTCCATGTCCTCCGCAGGATCATCAACGAGGCCATCGAGATGTACGCGGAAGACGGATGCGTCTACCTGGAGCTTCGGACGGGGCTGAAGCATCTGCCAGACAGGAAGACGTTCTTGTCGGAGGTGATCTCAACCATCAACTTGGCGCAGGGGAAGCATGGCATCATCGTACGGCTCCTCGTCAGCGTCGACCGGGGAGCGTCCGTGGAAGACGCGAGAGAGACGATTTCGATCGCAATCGATGCGTACGAGTCTCAGAGCAAAGGCGGAGGGCAACGGGGAGGAGGAGTGCTGGTGGGTGTTGAGATGGGCGGCAACCCGTTGCGGGGGAACTGGGACGAGCTCCGTCCGCTGTTCCAACAGGCCAGAGACGCGGGAATGAGAGTCTCTTTACATTTCGCAGAGAACAAAGGACACGAGGAAGAGCACGAGAAGATCCTCGAGTTTCGACCTGACAGGCTGGGACATGCTGTGTTCATGAGCAAGAAGATCACCGACAAGGTCCTGAACACCAAGACACCAGTGGAGGTGGAGTGTCTATGATACTTGAGAAGGACTGAAAGGCTGATGACAGGTATGCATCACGTGCCATGAAGCCTACTACAAGGTAGACAGGAAGAAGAACGTCTTCGGGATCCTCAAAAGGTTTCGATACTTTCGCTCCCTCCTCTGGTCAATCACTTTGCTCGTGCCAGTCACAATCATCCAGCTATCCTCTGCTGCGACAACGCGTGCCTCCTCCACACCCTCCTCAGCAAGGAGTGGGAGGTAGCGATACAAACCTTTAAGCTGACAGCAGAAGACGTACAACACATGGTCCTTGACAACGTCGATGCGATCTTTGCCGACAGTGTGACCAAACAGAAGGTGACTGGTCGAGGCATCCGGGCATTCGATGACTTGATGCCTTCCAGCTTCGAGTGCAATGCGAGAATCGGCTCAAGTCATTGTTTACCAAGAGCGAAGCGCCACGGTCAACGACGAAGATTAAGAGTACATTCCTGACGAATTTGTGCAGAGCAAGAAAGTCAGGAGGAGGAGGATGGCAATCTTTGTTGTTCTTGTCATTGTCAGCAGCGTGTCTGGGAGGCCTCTACTACCTTCGTGTCGTCAAACGAGCAATCTAACTTGCGCCCTTTCATATTGATTATGTTTATGATGCATCTTGAATACTTTTAACCAAGATTGACCTGAGCCTCTCCTTCCTGTCTCCAGAATCTTTGTCTGACTCTAACTTCTTCGAGAAGCTGTCTCCCCTGACACTCCTCTTGAAGCTCCAGAACTGCTTCGACAGCAGCATATGCCGCCTCATCTTGAAGAGGTCCGCACCGCTCCTCGGGCGAGATTCGGCATGCAAAGGTGACTGCACGACGTTGCGAATCACCCGCATCTTGTGGTCGTCGAGGTTCTGACCGAAGATCCGCGCTGACCCCTGCTGGATCAACGCAGTGCTGATGAGCTTCTCGCGAGGAAACGCTTCTTCACGGCAGAAGTGAGACACGAGCCTCTCCACCACCCTCGTCCCCAGGTCCTCATCGCTGACTCCACGAGACTCCACCTCCCTCATGTCTATCGGAGGGGAGAAGGCTTGCAGATGGTGCCATGCCGTCACCGTGTGCTTCCCATCCTCGGCCTCGCACAGCACCTGCGCATGCCTCCACCAGGCAGGGTCACCCGATCCTTGACCGCTCCAACCAGTCGAGCATGCTATCTGTCCATCCTTTACCATCTCGTTCTCTTCCAACAGGACAGGGATGATCCAGTGACCCGCATTCACGGCGTATGAGAACTCACACCTGCACTTGTTAGAGAGCACGTATGCGTCACTCAGAAACATCAAAGTGACGGCAGGCACGTTGTCGTATCCGCTCCCATTGATGTACTTCTGATCGATCCAGCACACCAGGTCAGTTGCCTTGGCGATCAGATGGCAAAGTGATTGGATCAACTTCATGGCTCGATTGCAGGTTGAGGCATGCAGCGACTTGTGGAACTTGAGCATCCAGGACTCTCCGGAGTGTGGATCTAGCAAGTGCATAATCCTCTTTGGGGACTGATAGATCTCCAGGAGGCGGCTAGAAGAGCTCTTCCCTTTGAGGACATCCCTAGCGTTCCTGGCAGTGCCGGAAGTCCCTGTCGTCTCGATGGAAGGGCCTTCGCTCTTTGGATCGCTCGAGTGATCCCTTGCTGACCCCGTTTGTTTTACCTGCCTCGTCGTCGGAGTCGTTAGCGGCGTCCTGTAGCTCATGCTCTCCGACAAGGACTGACTACGGTACAACACTTATCTTCCACTTGGTGTTCAACCGCTGGCAGTTGAACGAGGATGCCGGTGGCGTCGGAGTTCCCCGGTCAGGCGGCCAGCTGGTTCGCTGCCGCTCGCTCTGCAGGCCCGGGCTATGCACCTCAAGAGCTCACAGGGCGAGTCAAGGACTCAGTCAGGACCTTCATTGAGTTCCGGCATTGCGATGCTGCACAATCGCGATCGGACCATCGACATGCACGAGCCCCCAGTGCTTGCCTGCCTCCTCCTTGCATGGGCGGGGCTGCCGCATCTGATCCGTTGACGATCTGAGTTGACTTCCCTTGACCGAGCGTAACTGGAGCAACATAATCGTAACCGGGGGAGATTTCATTGCAGCCGTTACAACTCACGAAACTTGGCCTGGCCGCCTCAAAGGACCACCTCGCTATATCGTAAGTGGGGTATGTCGTGGACCCACCCCTATCAATCACAAACACTCCCCTATGAAATATAAGGGTACCCACCCACCTAAACTAATTTTGTTACCCCCTCTTGCCTGGGGATTGGGTTAGCTGGATGTCTACGACCCTTCTCAATTTGGTGGGTGGGGTACATACCCTACCCTCCTATTCATGATTCCAGCAATTAGTGAAATACCCACCCTTTGTTCAAGAATCGAGCAGGTTGTCCCACCTGTTGCCATCAACAAATAAAAAACATTTAATAATTTCAGCATAAAACTTTGTTTTCAATACAAACTTTAAAGTATTTTAATAATTCTCGGTACGCTATGCCTCAAGTACAACAAAAGGTATTTACAAAATTGAGGCCGTAAGCACTAGAATTCTGCCTGTTAATTCGACCCTCCCCGTCAAGCGATAGCTCAAATTCTTGAATGAGTAATCGAAATGTACAGTATTATATATAATAATATAATATGATATAAATATCATCTAAAATAGTTTTTAACTTTTTCCTCAATTGTTCTTCCCCCGGCGCAGGCATGCTGGACATTTCCTTTGCCTATGTAGCTTCTAGGCGCCCTTCCCCCTACCCTCCCCTCTACCCTCCCCCTCCCCCTCCCCCTCCTTCCCCCTCAAATTTCGTTGTCACTGTGCGTTCTCATCTTGCACTGCAATCACCGCTATCATATCCTTTCAGCTTTCCTTCCTAGATCCGTGAAACCCGAATCAGCTTCAACTAGAAAAACTAAAGCATCAATCACCACAATCACCAACACTACTATCACAACCATCAGCTTCCACAATCACCTGTATATAGCATGTGGGTGTGATATGCATGAACTACTCTTCTTTGTTTGGATGTGTATTTCCCATGTTTCAGTCCCATATGTAGTTGTCTCATTCTGAATCCGCCGAAACCTTGCTGGCCACCTCCATTCAACAATTGTATTGATCTTTGTTAATTTCTTTTGATCTAGAAATAATTGCCAATGGTTGTGAAGTTGAGCATTTATCTTGAAAGTAACCTATTTGCTGACTTATAGCTCTCACAAAGGGATCCGAAGATAGTGAAGACACACGGAGGATGGACCAATCTTCACCCGAGGGTATAAACCACGACAGCCCTGTTGAGAAATCCAATTCAGAGTGGGTAACGTTCGAGGCTGGAAATGATTCCAGCAATGGGCACATAAATGGCCATGAAGTGAGGAAAGTTGTATTTCTATGCCCTGAATTGACATAATGTCTGCAGTTGGACAAAACATCTTCAAGTGATGCCGTAAAAGAGTTCTCCTCCTCCAACGAATTTGAGGACTCGATAACTGACGATATCGGCAATGAATCCACAACATCCGCAGCTCCAGGGTCCGAGGAGCCGAGCACAGGAGGGTTTGACGGGCTGATGGGAGGCTTCGGGGAGAGCACTGGACAGGAGGGCGTGGGAGCCGGAGGAGCCGGAGGGTTTGAGGAGGTAGGGGGCTTCGGGGACACATCCACGACAGCGGCAGCTCCAGGGTCCGAGGAGCCGAGCACAGGAGGGTTTGACGGGCTGATGGGAGGCTTCGGGGAGAGCACTGGACAGGAGGGCGTGGGAGCCGGAGGAGCCGGAGGGTTTGAGGAGGTAGGGGGCTTCGGGGACACATCCACGACAGCGGCAGCTCCAGGGTCCGAGGAGCCGAGCACAGGAGGGTTTGACGGGCTGATGGGAGGCTTCGGGGAGAGCACTGGACAGGAGGGCGTGGGAGCCGGAGGAGCCGGAGGGTTTGAGGAGGTAGGGGGCTTCGGGGACACATCCACGACAGCGGCAGCTCCAGGGTCCGAGGAGCCGAGCACAGGAGGGTTTGACGGGCTGATGGGAGGCTTCGGGGAGAGCACTGGACAGGAGGGCGTGGGAGCCGGAGGAGCCGGAGGGTTTGAGGAGGTAGGGGGCTTCGGGGACACATCCACGACAGCGGCAGCTCCAGGGTCCGAGGAGCCGAGCACAGGAGGGTTTGACGGGCTGATGGGAGGCTTCGGGGAGAGCACTGGACAGGAGGGCGGGGTAGGATCAGGTGGTGTGTTTGACTCTTCCTCACCACCTGGGTTTTCGGATGTGCAGACTTCTTCTGTTTCCGGTTTGGATTTCCCTGGTCAGAGCGGGGAAGAGCCTTCGGCCTCTTTTGATTTCCCTCCATCTCGTCCAGTACCGACTATTCCCAGCTCCATCCCGGATGTCCAGGTTGCTGGAGATCCGTTTTTCGGCAATGGCGTCTCTGGAACGCAGTCTCAAGCAGTAGAGACGCCTACGGAGAAGGATGTTATCTCAGATGTCACTGATGACTGGGGAGAAGAGGAGAAGGAAAAGCCCAAGCTCAACTTCAAGATAAGATCCAAAGAAGAGATTGAAGCTGAGAACGCAAAGAATGCCGTTTCCCTCTCTGCAGTGAACCTTGGACTTCCCGTAGCACCTGCTCCATCAGGCAGGTCTCGCCGGCAGGTTGCAGTCTTGTCCGGACAGAACTCTTCGGGATCAAGTTTGCACAGTCCCAGTATGGACTCCCCCCAAGCGTCGACACCTACTGCAGCTGCTCCTTCCTTCTTCCATGCCAACAACGTTACGCCAGAGGACCGTATCAAGCAACTCGAGGCGCAAGTCACAGAATTGAACGGCAAGCTTGAGAAGGTAACAATAGATTTCTGATTGGATTCGATTGACAGATGATGACAGGCTTTGAATGAGAACAAATTGCTTCACATCAAAGTTTCGTCGCTCAATCGCGAAATTGATGTAATCAGCTGATGCTGTGCTCGATTTCACTGACCGGTTTGCTACAGGACTTCCACAATAAAGCGGAGACCAACACAGTAACGCCTTTGTGTTTGCACATGTTAACCTGACTCTCTGTAGGAGCACAAGCTTGAAGAGTTGGAAGCAGCCTTGATTCAGGTGACGCCAGAGCTTTTCTCTCGCACCTTCTCACTTGGCGCAGGCCAAACTTCAAAATGCGGAAGATGCTTCGATTATCTTGCAGTTGAAGCACAAGGTAAGAGAACAAGGGTCTATGATTTTTTAACTTGCGACACAGCTCAAGACAAACGGAATAAGTTAAAACGAGGGCGAACGTTTCTTGTAAATGTACGTTTTGCCATTTTGAGTATTTGAAATAAAGTATCTCTTGATGTTCAAGTTCTGCTTTGAAGCGATTGGTACGAGAAGAGGAGAGTAGATAACTTAGCTCTCTATTTGTGCGAGCGGGGTGGAGGCATATATATAATCCTCTATGGATCGCTTTACAGAAATGACAAAACTTACAACGCCTGTCTATCGCTGGAAGTGACAACTATGAGAGCCTACCAGCGGCAGCCAGCAAGCATCAGAATTGCATTTCAAGTGGTACTCAGATGTTCAACAGTCATCAGAAACGATAGGATCCTGCTCGTTTACTTGGACCTTGCCCTCATCTTCCTACGCTTGCGCTGAAGACGCCTTTGCCTCTTCTTCTTCCACTTCCACCGCATCTATTCCACGCAGAATAAGAAAATTATTGATCAAAAGTGCGAGGTTCACATATGCAGCACAAACATCGAAAAGAAACGTTTCACGTTGCAAGTAGTCAGGCAATAGACGCATCAAGTTGCTGGTATGAATCAAAGAGGAACAAGACGTAAACAGAAATCAAACATTATCAAGCGTATCCGGATAAACTATCAAAGACATTGATAGGAAAGCCAAGACAAAAAAGAACAAACTCTTGCAAAAAATTCAAGATCCATTCAATAGCCACTGCAACGAGTGTGGAGCTCAGAATACATCTTTCTCAGTAACAAAAGCAATAAAAATAAAAATTCAATAGAGGAGAAAGAAACGACACCATATCAACACATTCTCATCATCTCCTTTCCTCTCTCATACCTTAGCGGTGGACTTCTTCCATGGGTTGCTCTTATGCGCCATGGCCGCAAGTCACTCGTCGGCTGCCTCGCACGAGAATAAATACACCCCCCCCCTCTGCACCCCACCTACCCCACCCCCCTTATCGTACTACCCCGTTTGCTCTTCACCCTGGAAAAATGGACCCTACCCGAAGAAGATATGACCCTACCCGGTCATCTTTCTTCATCTCGGAGGGCACCCGGTCCATTGCCTCAATTTACCTACTCTTTCTGCTGCAAAAGTACCCTACCCCACCAATCTGACCACATAGTGAAGGGTGGGAACCACCCTGACATCGGCTTTATTTTATACCCGGCTACCCTTATTAATTTATGAAGATCCATGACCCCCCACCCCCTTTTGCCTGTGCTCGGCCGCTGTTTTTTTTTCACGTGGGGTTCTTTCTCCTCGGTAATCACCCCCACCCCCTTAATTCTCTGCACATTGTATTCTGTGATGGGGTGGGTCCCTTTTCCGTTTCCCTGGACGCTAGGTCAACTTCTAGGTCAACTTCTAGGTCAACTTCTAGGTCAACTTCTAGGTCAATTTCTAGGTCAATTTCTAGGTCAATTTCTAGGTCAACTTCTAGTCTAGTAGTAACTCATCCCAGTAACTTCTCGTCAGTGTTGTTACACCAGCATCCGGCTGATGTCAGGCAGGGTGTCAATTGCATGGCAACGACATACGTAGACTGAAAGGGTCACCTCCAGCGATGGGCAAGACCTTCAACCGCCCGTGGGCCGCCCGGCAGATACCCTGGGGCCCTACCTTCCACTGAGCCTCCGGAGATACGGTGGCACAGGAAGCCACGGTCTAGATGAAACATAATCGATCAGCGGGAGCACATTCAGTTCGTCTTGCTCCCGGCTTCCCCAACGGTTTCGCAAATGCAATTTATATTTCCTTCAGTGTAGTGTGACCTTCCGACATCACGAGAATATTTCCCAGACTCCAACCATGGTATTTGGGGGATTCTGTATTCGATGTGTTGGGTAACCATTGCAAAGTTTATGCAACTCAGGGGTAAGGTTGTTGTTGTCAGACGATCTTGCAAAGATCGCTTCAACGCTCCTGAATGTATGAAAGATGGAGCAAAAGAAGAGCAGATTATGTCGAAGCATTACCTGGCTGGCGGCTCATGTCGGTACATGTTCGAAAAGACGGCAGCGGTGGTGAAGCAGAGGCTGGATCGGGCTCTTGCATCGTGTCGAAACCTAGAACATCTGTTCCAGGGTATCGTTGGTGACTCCTCGTTGGATGCTGTAAATCACTTGACTGCACGTTCAAGCATTCCCAGCATAAGGAGCTACCTTTTCGAGCTTTGATTTTTCAAGAAGGTGAAGCAAGGGGTGACCATGCGTGTCACGTGTGAATCAGGTTTGGATGGAATGCCCAGTGTTACCCTTCGATGCGAACGAAGTCATGGAGAGTCTTCCTCAAGAGAGAGCATGCTTGAGGCCAATCAACGTGTTTCAACCAGGCTATGATGCTATTATTGTGAATGTGCGTGCGAAGTTGGTCGAGCTTGTGCAGGTGACAGTTTTATCGTCGCACTCATTTAAGCTCTCTCCCTTCGCAAAAGCTCTCAAGAAGCTCAACATCCCAACCAAGGGTTGGAAAGTGAAAGTAGTTTTCATCGTTCCGCCAGAAAGGCTCAAGGATTTTCAGATCGACGCTATCAAGAATTGCGGGGCGATGGAGGAGTACGGATGGAAGAAGGGGTCCGAGGGTAAGCAGGCAGATGTAGCGAGCATTGAAATGCTGTGACCTCTCATCACGGGAGGGCTGAGCACTCGCTTGAAGGGAGAGGCAAGATCTGACCAAGAAATGTTGCACTGAAGAAAGGAATGCATGCTTGTCAACTATACCGCCAGGCTTCCTGTGCTGGCACGCATGCGAGTTGCTCAATGCGGACCCATGCAATTATTATTCCGGCTAGTACGGAACCTTGCCCTGGCTTAAGTCCCGAGCCGGGCAGAAGATGTCGAATCACCTTAGCAGGTTCGATGTGAGGAATTAGAATCAGGGCAAGGGGATGTTTCTATGGACTTCAGGGTGGACGCCAACCACTAGAGGAGGGGATGTCGCCTGAGACTTGCTGAGCAGCTTATCCTGATTTGCCAAGTTGACAGATTTGTGCTTGCATGGAGCGAACATCCATTATCAGTGCCTCCATCTGGGATTCGTGTTGTGATTGGAGGGCCAAGTTCTGATAGATGAACATAGATGCGTATCCATTCCAACAGAAGCCCCTCTCTTATTCAGGCGGATGCATGCGATAAAATCTTTGACACCGTCACGCTGCCTGACGTCATGAACACTGCTGTCCGGGCTAACGCAGTCATCCCACCCGTCAAATTGCTGTTCTACCCCTCCACTTTCCCTTGCAACAAACTAACTTTTCCATGCGCGGACAAGTTCAGTACACCTCCTCTGGCGCATCCTGCTCATGAAAATCCCACAGGATCTGAAAGGTCAGCTCCTGGCACCTTCTTTCAGCTGCTAGGATTATAGTTTCTTCCACAAAGTCGGCAATCAGCTGCGCTCCTCCTCGGATTTGGCATGAAAAAGCCCTCCCATTGAGCCATGACGTGAAGCATGTGCACTGTTCGATCCATGCTGCCGATGGAGGCGAGGGATATGCTCAGGCCTCTTGCGAGAGAGCTGCAGCATTTGAGAGAGGAGGGGACGGTTAAGCTCTGCTCCGAGCACGCAATGTTCAGCTTGGTTTCGTCTGAGTAGGGCGACTCCTGGATTTTAATGGGCAGCTGCTTCTGAACGGCGGCGAGAAGGGTATCGCCGGCAGCAAGATGAGGGTGGTTGTCATAGAGCTTGCAGCTGATAGTTGGATAGGTCACACCGAGAGGAAGACCAGACACGTTCCCAAAGTTACTCGAGTTCTTGAGTGGCATGCGACGAGAAGAAAAAATGGACCCGTCAATGATCGCTCCCACAGCTACCGGCAGGAGACGACTTGCTGCACCCGTAGATCATAGAACCTTCAAAAAGAACCACAGCGACGGGAACATCTTCCGGATGACGAACGAGCCCCAGACACGGAGGATGAAGGAGGGAGGCATGACGAGTAGGAGCGGACGTATGGAGCTTCTTCGAGGATCTCACTCTCTCTCTCCCCCCTCTCGTGCTTCATCAGGCCAAGCCCTGACTGCCACCTTTGCCTGACCCCACCTGCCATTAGAGCTACCACTCTTCTGTTGGAGCTACCACTCTTGGTACAATACCACTGCTATTTCAGTACCATTCACACCAGAACAATGTGGTAGATGGAAGGAGAGTAGATGAGCTGGCGAGCAAGGAGTATGGCAGCAGAGAAGCGACAAGACAATCAATCAGGTAGAGAGGAAAGATAGAGCAGAGCAGCGAGGAGGGAGGCAAATGAGGATTTGAACAGAAATATTTGAGAGGCAAAAAGAGGAAGACAAAGATGACACAAGTATCTTCTGCTTTCAATCGATGAATGGTGACCCCACCATGTGAGTAGCAGTATGAGCGGTTTGTTTTTGATGTGACGTGCTTCAGGCAATGAGGCGTGAGTCCTCCTGTCATCCAAGGTTACACTCCCCGGCTATATGCATATCCCCTGCAGCTCAATTTTCTGAAAGAGCTGCAGACATGAAAGTATCCCAAGGGAAAACCAACATCAAGGCAGTGGTTCCTAGACTTGTGGCAGCGCAGGTATCTGACGCGTCTGCCTTCAAGTTTGCAATGAAGGTCACCTCAGAGAATTACCATTCACAACTCTCCCAGGCATGGGAAGGTCTTGGGCCGGAAAGGCAGGGCTGTGCATTCCCCTCTCTCGCTGCAAGCAGAGATGACATTGTGCATGATGTTGTCTTTGATTGCTGCCCGAAAATGTTGGGGTTTCAGGATACAGATGAATATCATCGACTGCTGGACAACAGGACTGTTGATGACACAACCAGACAATTTGGCGTAGGTAGTATCTTCCTTTAAAGGATATGACCGTGAGAAGAGTGGGGATTGTCGTACATCAAGTTGAATGTATATGAGTAGGATAACTTTACAGAGATCGTGGATGATTTCACAGAATCTGGCATGAGAAACAGCAGGTTGCTGTTCTGCAAGGAGCTATAAACAAGCTCTTTACGACCTCATCATTTCAGGAGTAGCATGGAGAGACGAATTCGAAGGTACATTCTGTTCCTCTGCCTCTCCGGAAGTTGTAATCTTGTTCATGAAAGCATTCGGACTCCCCTGGGACAGAAACCAAGATGACAGTGAGCAATCTCACTTGGTGGCCCACAATAATACATTACCTGACCACTGTTGTTCTTTCATGAAGGTGAAGATTTTGAAGACTCGTGGTCGGGAAGACGAAAACATGTGATGCCCACCATTCTTCGCTTGCAACAAGTCATGATCAATACATAGCGAATGGAGCTATCGTCGGGTGAGTTGAGATTCAAGCGATTCTCCTTGCTGACAACGTGTCATCAGGACAAAGCCTATCAGTAGCAAGCGCCCCTACGCGTCTGACGCGGCCTCTGCCGCCTCCGGGACCCAGCGCAGATATCCCCCATTCGGGACCAGGATGGATGTCAAACGGAGGTGTCAACAGCTCGACGCCAGCTGCTGCCTTGCCTTACTGTGGCATCAGCTGGAGAAGCAGAGTCGCAAGTATCTACAGAAGGCAAACAAGGACTTTTGACAGGAGCTTATTTTCTCAGAGAAAGAAATAGGAAATGAATCCAATGATCTTCATCGTTAGAAGGCATTATTGTTTGTCAAACTATCTATTAAATCGCTATTCTTGTCGCATTTTTCATACTCCACATCGACTATATGTTACATCCATGTCTTGACAGGCCTCTCCTTTCTTTCACTCGCTCCTAGCAAGCATCGACCACGAGGTGTCATAGTGGTAGACCAGTTCTCAGGCCGCCCTCAGAGTCCGACAATTCAAACCAAAGCCGGTAAGTTGATCTGAAAGCCTGGCAAGTTGCCCGGGCCGCCTGACTGTGTCAGAGGCGTGTCGTATCCAATCTCAGGGAAATGCTGATATTCCGACGTGTTTCAGGCGATGAGCTGCAGTCATTGAGCGTCAAGGTGAAAGTTCAACTCCCTGCTTCTACTTCCTACAGTTTTTGCACAGCCACGAACGGAATTGCACAGCAGGCTTCATTGATATCGCAGCCTTCCTTTGGTTTGCCTGATGATTGTAAATGTATCATTGTACGGCAAAAATATTTTGATGCAAACCTGCTCTGGAGAGCACTCGGTCAGCACAAACATGCTGGAGTCGAATACCTCGTCCTCATTGAAAGTATTGAGGGGGGCATACAAAAAATACTTCAAGCCGCGATGCATCTTGAAAATTTGAGAGTACTCATCATTCAAGGTTTTGATCAAGATTTTGAAAAACTTTAAAATTGAAATCGGAATCATACTGATAGCTTTTTATTTGTTGTTCAGGTGTAGATTTGAAGTTCGATGACCAGGATGTGCTTGCTTCTCTTTTCCACAAGCTTCATGTACATGATCTCATTCTCCATAGAAACCATCTATACGGAAATGACAGGTGCGTCCTTTTTCAGAACAAGTCTATCCTACATTTGCGCTCTCACAATCGCATCAGGCTAGAGTTTCTGACGAGGGCTTTGCTCAAAAACGATTGTTTAAAAAGTCTTCGAATCACAAGGAATGATTTGAGGTCGTCATCGTCAGGCCCATTGTCAAAGTATATCGCAAGCAGTACAACCTTGCAGGCGATCGACCTGTCAGGGAATTTACTTGGTAAGTTATTTGGTGAAGCTGCATTGGATTGTGTGACAAGAACTTTGATAAAGGAAGTGTGGGCGTATCGATCGTTTCGCAGGGGATCCGAAGTAACCGGAGCATCACGGCGATAAGTCTGAACTACTGCAGCATGCAATGCGCTGGAGCCACCACCTTGTCGCGCTGCTTGTCTGGACATCAAGCAGTCTGCAAACTGGAGCTTGCCGGCAATCAAATCGGTTCGGCAGGAGGCAAAGAAATATTTGCTGTTCTATCAAGTATGCAAGCTCTGACGCATCTGAACTTACACAACAACAACCTGAGAGACGATGGAATGCAACACCTTTTGGCTTTCTTTCCGAAAAGCTGTTTGAAATTCTTAGATGTTTCCATGAATCAGATCAGTCCTGTCACAGATCGTGAGTTGGCAAAGTTGTTTTTCACAGGCAGATATGATCGAAATGATGCGGGAAGAACTTGTTGGTATCCTGCAAAAATTCTTTTCGTGTTGGCGATCTTGATGAGCCGTCATCCAAGATTAGGATGCAAAAGTGCGTTCAACGAGCTTCACGAAGATGTCTTTCAGATTATCATTGATGACTTTCTTTCAAGCTTCAATGATTTCTCTGTAATCTTCTGATCAAGCTGGATGGAGATCAACTTTGCAGCTCGACGGTCAGATTCATCATTTTATGAATTCGGACCTTCTATACACTTTGCAGGACTGAATGGTACAGTCAAAATATAAAACATGTTCGATAACTGCATCTGCGCACAAAGTTCTGATAGTGAGTGATATGGCATTGGCTCTGAATAGAACTTGGCAGGGCAGTCCAAGTACGGATACATCTCATCTTTCTACAAATTCAGATACATGGCTGTGAGTGAGTCTCCTGGCTGTTTGAAAGCTCGTAAACACCATCTCTGTGATGGAGGATGTGTCCGCTATCTCTGTGATGGAGGATGTGTCCGCTCATCTCTGTGATGGAGGATGTGTCCGCTCATCTCTGTGATGGAGGATGTGTCCGCTATCTCTGTGATGGAGGATGTGTCCGCTCATCTCTGTGATGGAGGATGTGTCCGCTCATCTCTGTGATGGAGGATGTGTCCGCTCCAACCGACGCTATCAGAGCAACTACTGCATCGCCAGCATGGGAACTAGCGCCTTGCATAGTCTTCCTTATAAATCCTTTTTTGTCAAAATAAAACCATATTTATGTTCACAGTACAAGCTTTACTCAAAGAGGAAGTTCCGAGAGTCTTCTAACTACCCACCCCAGCATTGTTTGCAAGTCTCAGAAATCGGGAGGGTGGTGGCGAAGTGGGGGTGGGGTGATATGAAACCTTGTCAGACGGAGCACCAGGAGCACGGGGTAGGAAAAGCCTTGTTGATGGGGGTACTAATCGAAACCGGTAGTAGTAGCTGGATACATCAAGGGGGTGGGTGGAACTTTTTTTTTCCAAAAAGAGGGTTGAGATATGATCGAATGGTTTGAATTGATTAAATTCAATTCAGGCGTAATTAAAAGCGGCTCAATCGATTAAAATCAATTGACACAAGGCGATTTAATCGAAAAAGGCGAAAGTGTCTTGATAGGATCGGGCACAGGAATAATGCCTACCATGGCAGAGGACGGAGGAGGAGCAGGAGGATCAGGAGGATCAGGAGCAGGAGGATCTCCGATTCCCCTCCGCTGATTTCCTGCCATGCAGTCTAAAGTTGTTCTGGTGTCGTCTCTGATTGCCTCGAATGCACTTGGTTGCCCTTGACTTATGAGATGCGGTGGGAAAGATAGAGTCATCAGCAGCATCTACTGGGCAACTTAAACTCATCTGCTGCTCATTTCGATTCACAGCGATACTTGTGTAAGGATATGGTATCATAAGAATGCTCTATATGGCGCTTCGTTGGTCTTGCTTCAAAAGCAAGTTGGGAATGCACCTGCATCGAGAAACACTCGGAGGCCCTCGATAACTTGTGTGCGGAAAGAATCAGGTCAATGTCGCAGTCCAACGGTGTCACTCCTGCCGAAGCACAAGAAAAGCAGAAATGGGTGAAGTCGCCCATCGTCATCAAGCCAGGAGCGAAGTTTGAACCTTCGGTCAGCTCGGCAGAGGTGTTGCACCCTGACATTGACGATGGAAGGCAAACCCCCGACCCATCAGTTGAGATCAGAAATTGTGCGTTGTCAACTGCCAGATTGAACTATTCCTTATGGCTGGATGGAGTCCTGTATATCAACGGAATGCATAACATGGATACTTTCATCGACCTTGAAAAGCATCATGGAACATCGCTGAAAGAAGCGGGAGTGAAGATATGTGAATGTTCAGGTTTTGTGGATGGCGATGGTTTCAACGTTTACGTCCCAACGGTGCATCTCATCTTTGATCACTACTGAGACAGTCTGCTCTGACTTTCATCCGTCAGGTCAAGTGGATGTTTGTAGAATTCTGTGAGCGCGTTAGGATAATTCTGGATGAAGCCATAGATTTTGTTCATGTGGAAAACTCCAAGTTCATAGAGGAAAGGATTCACTTGTTTTTCCACAGCTTCTGATACATTCTGTTACAGATTATTCTTGGAAAACAGGCTTCTTCTAAGATTTCCTTGCTGGGCACTGCCAACTGTACAATAGTGTTGGAGAAGCAAGGTGTAGATGTAAAGGTTTGTGCTGCAGGAGGAACGTTTGACGTGAATGAGAGACTTTCTGTGATGCAGATCGAGGCGATAGCATCCGAGTATGTGAACATCCTGCAAATCGACTCGCGCAAGACGCAGAGCTCGAGCAACTCACAAGATGTTGGAATAACAAAAGTTCGCTCCTGTTCTCCTGATTTTGCTGCAGGCAAGCAGCAACGCGTATCGCATGGTGCAGAGTATGCTGAATAACAAGATCTCCGAGTGTGATTTGCTTCCTGACCAAATTATCACCAAGGTTCAGGAAACTTGTCGAGTTCATACGTGTGATTAGACTTTACAGATTAGTCAAGGGACTTTCATGACTTCTTGCAGTTTTGATGGTATTTGGATAGTTGGTGAGTTGATTCTATTGATTTTCAATCAGAGGAGCGGAATGATATGCTGCTTATGGAAAAATATCCTCCATACCTCCCCATTGAAAAAGTACTTTGTTTCTTATATTGGGAATTCGCTTTTTGACTTGTATTTCCTTCAACTTGTGTCTCAATCATTCTAGCAGGAGCAGAACGAGCGTGGAGGTAACTAACCCGCATCACTTCCCTTCTTCTTACCTGTGCATGACAGAGGAGCTCATTGGCGTCGGTCTTGGCCTCCGAGCTCAAGAGAGCATGGAATCAGGTTGGAGCCCTCGAGGGCAAGACTGGCAGACTTATCCTCGCCCAGGCCCTTTTATCGTTGGCGACATCGTAGCTGAGAGTGCAGCAGCACGGGAAGGGACTATCGAGGTCGGCGACGTCCTCGTTTCAATCGACTCCATCCTCGTCCTCCATATGTCGATGCAGCAGGTCCTCGACCTGCTTCGCGGACCTCTCGGCTCAACCGTCGTGCTCGTTGTCCTCAAGCCCGAGTCGCAGCGGGAGCTTCGCGTGCATCTTCAGAGGACAGGACTTCGTCACACCCAGTCATCTCACGCATCTGCTCCGGAGGTTGTCCGGAGCAACGACTTGCCAACCAGGTCAAGGAGGAGGAGGAGGAGGAGGAGGAGAGGATGGGGCCTTTTTCTGTCCTCATCCTTGCTGCTGCAGGGCGGAAGACGAGCGACTCTTTTACACGCGGTCGGAGAGCAGCAGGAGACCGACAGGAACTTTCGAGAAGTACATCGACCTGACGACTCAGCTGGGCTTCTCCCTGCGGCTGGGGATTGACGGGATTTACTTTGTCGGAGGGATCGCCGACGCCTCTCTCATCCAAGGGGACCTGCAAGTTGGTGACATCCTTCACTCCATTGACGGCCTGCCTGTGACCTCGAGGCCTTTCAACGTCATCAGCTCCTTGCTCGAGCCCAGCAAGCAGTCCAGGAAGATTCTTGCCCTGCTGGGATCGAGAAGGGAAAAGGCGATGCTCTTCCACGGGCTGAATGAGTTCTCCTCCTGGAAGGCTGTCATCATCGACCCAGTCCGCTGCGAGCGACGGAAGAAGTCGAGCGCAGACATTCTCATCGATGTAGCAACAGAGGAGGAGTGTCAGATTCACCTCTCCCTGCATCCGAGCAGCTTCTCGCGGCCCATCAACGACGACGAGCACAAGAAGAGTGTCCTGCACTCGATGCTGATCAACGAGGTCTCGAGGCTCCTGCAATCTTCTGCCATCCGTGTCTCTGTGCTGGAGCTTCTTCCCGAGGCAAGAACAGCAGCAGTTGAGCTGCGACAGCCGATACAGGAGGGAGAGAGCCCGATTGAGGTGGTAGCAGAGAGGCTGGTCACGGCGATCAACACTCGTACCACCCCTCCCTACACCTCCTCCTCCCCTCCTCCTCCACCCGAATTCTTTCTGATCTCCTCGGCCTCCTTGAGATTGCAAACAAAGAGGAGAAACTCGGCGATTTCTCAACGAGGGGTTATCACTCAGCAGAGCCCCAGCTTGGGGGAGATAGGCATGAAAGTGGCGGCTCTGATCCACAAGGCAGAGGGTCGGGAGATTCTGTCGGACGACCTGCAGGAGGTGAGCAAGTCGCTGTTGGGTGTTGGGCTCGTCCTCTACTGGGACGAGTTATCTTCTCTTCCTCGCGTCGACGATTTCTATCCTACTGTCCCGCTGCTTGGCAAGGAGTTTCTGCAGGAGAACGACTTCATCCTTGCTGTGGATGGGAACAGCACGAGGGGGGAGGGGCTAGCGCGTGTGATGATGTGGATTGCTGGGGAAGAGAGGCGGCGCGTGGAGTTGCAGGTGGTGCGAGGAGAGAGCTTCTGCTGCACGACGAGACGAGCGAGGAGGGAGTGGACGTTGGCTGTGATGAGGGGATCGGGAGAAGTCATTGAAGTGATGGAGGACATCGCGGTGGAGGCCAAAGGGAACGACGTTGGGATGATGAAGGAAGAAACGATGCGAGGCGAAGAGGAGGTGTCCTCGAAAAAAGTGATGATGAATGGAGACTTTCACACTGCACCTGAGCGAGTGCTGGCGAATGGAGGAGGGAATGGAAGGGTCGAGATTGAAGAAATCAAAGGCGAAGGGGAATACACGGAAGCAAGTGGTGGCGACGATAAGCAGCATGACGACAGCAGCAAGTTCGAGCAAGTGGGACCAGTGACCATGGTGAGAACATCCCACAAACGCCTTCCTTGCTTCTCTTCTGATTTTCTTCTCAAGACGATCGATGGACTTCAGGCCGATGAATTTATCCAAGAAATTCCCGAGGATCCAATTCTGCCAGAGAATCCAGTCAAGCAGGAGAAGGAACAACCTGTCTTCAACCATCCTCCCCCGGTTCTCAGTGAGTCTCGAGGAGGACGAGGAGTGGCGAGCGAGTGGGGCGATAAGGGTGTGGGTCTTATGCCTTCCTCCAGACATCTACGTGCGGAGATTGACGATCCAAGTCCTGAGAGCCTCGGACATCTACCACACTCAACTGCCCAAGAAAGTGGTAGGGAGGGGGGGGGGGAGTCAGGAGGGAGCAGCGGCAGCTGACAAGACTGCAGGCCTGCAAGCTCAAGTTTGTCCACCCCCTCTACGAGCCGCACGAGCTGAAGAGCCTCGACGGGGTTCACGAAAACACAGAGATTTACTTCACTTCCCGCCCGGTCGTCGTCGATCTCGCCCAGTACATGGTGGCTTCCCCCGCTAGTCTATTGTTCCTCTCCTCACCCGCTATTGCCCTCCCCTCCCCCCCTTCCCCTCCCCTCCCCCCCTTCCCCTCCCTTGCTTCCCTTCCCCTCCCTTGCTTCCCTTGTTCACTCCTATCCTCGTCACTCATCATTCTTCCTTCCTCTTGCCTTCCCTGCCTCATTTCACCGATCGCTCCAGATCGACCGCGTTCAGCTGCACGTGAGCTTGTGGGAGGAATATGCCCCGGGGAAGCAAGCCTGCGGTAAGGGAGAGGAATCAAACTTTGAGAGAGGCGAGCGAGATGAGAACTCACTCTCTGACTGTCAAGATGGTTTATCAGAGTTTCTCGGGGAAGTCTTCCTGGATGTCTTTCGACTTGATAAGGTGAGATTCTATCAATCTGTTTCGACGTCATGTATGATGTTGTTGACAGATAAACGACTCGATCTTCGAGCACTTTCAGCTGCAGGTCTTCAAATCTTCTTCCCTCCATCTTCTTCTCTACCCCTCAACTCCACTGGCTGCCCCTCTATCTATCTTTCCTCCTCTTCCTCCTCTCCTCCTACTAACCACTGACCGCTCACTGTCAGCAGGGAAACAACAAGACAACCAAGAAGATCCAGGTGCCTGCAAACCCCCCCCGCTCCCCCTCTAGACTCCCTTGTCCTCCAAAGCTCGTCACTAATATCCTCCTCCTTGCTCGTCCTCCTGTTCCCCCTCCTCTCGCACCCTCACTCACTCTGCACAGGGAAAGGTTTTCATCGGTCTGCAGTTTTCCCAAAAGACGTGATTGAATGAGGATGTATATACAAGTTAGCCATGTGATATTTCAAGTAAAGGTTATCTGCTCCTCCTTTACATCTCCCTCTTCTCTCTGCCTCATCTCCGGCCTCGTCGCGTTCGAGTTGCTGCTGGGGTCTGCACCATGATCTGACCGTTGCGAATCTCCTGCACCTTCAAGTCACTCCTGCCCCTCCCCTCTTCCCTCGTTCGCTACTGTCCGACCACCATGGCAACTTTTTCTTTCGCTTTCCCCCCGCCCCTTTCACTTCTGGCTCCCTCTGGCTGACCTCGCTCGACTCGCTCTCCTCGACGGATCGCTGAGCTTCGAGGTAGAACATGAGATCGCGTACCTGCGAGGCAGTATTGAGGAGAGGGATGAGGAGAGAGATGAAGAGGTGAGAGGAGGGACGAGGAGAGAAAGGAGGAGGGACAAGGAGAGAAAGGAGGAGGGACAAGGAGACTGACCTGCTCCTTGAGGTCTTTGATCTCTTCATCTTTCAATGCAGCTGCTGCAAGTTGCTCGTTGAGAGCCTGACGACAAAAAGTCAAAGGGAGAAGAAAAGTGGGAGAGAGAAGGAGTGGCAGAGGGGACAGAAAGATGAAAGATGGCGGTTTGGGAGAGGTGCAGAAGCAAGGAGGTGGTAGGAAGCAAAGACGAGGTAACAAGGGGAGGAAGGTTTACCTTCTGATTTGATGTGAGCGACTCGTTGAGCTGCTTGTGAAATTCTGCGTCTTCCCACGCCTTCTTCAACCTTGAGAAGTTCAGTAGTGGACGGCGGAGAGTCAGCAAGGGAGGATACCGCTCGGACATGAGGGTGATTTTCTTCTCGTCAGCTTTCTTCTCCTTGCTCCTCTTCTCGCTCTCCTCCCGCTCCTGCAACACCGGCAGGTCAAAAGGCAGGCAGAGACGATGCTGCCGACTTCTCGTAGCTCCTTCTCCTTGCTTGCGAGCGCCTGGCAGGCAACAGAGGATTAGCTCTGGCATGTGACTGGCAGGCAGACCATGGATGTAGCATGTAACTGACTCTCGTACTGATCCTTCAGCTCCTGCAGCTTTCCTAGTGGAAAACCATCATCCCAACAGGCACCTCACCTCGCGTCACCTTCATAGTAGGATCGCTGTGAGTCGAGTGTCCTCATCAGCATCTCGTTGTACTCCATGAATACATGATCGAGCTTCGAGGCCATCCGCGCTTCCTTCACAACCTCCTTATCAGCATCTTCCTTCTCAAAAGTGATCCCCTTCCCTCCCCTTCCCCACGCCGTCTCCTTCCTTTCACCACAATCCCCAGAGCATCCTCTGCTCCGTTGTCCCTTCCTCTTCTCTGCATCGCTCTCGCAGCCCTCACCTCAAGTTTCTCATCATGTTCATGGCTTGCATGTCCCCGCATCCCTCCTCCCTCCGGCAGCTCCACAAGTTTCCCATCCACCTTGTTCGCGACCAGCCGGTGCACGTAGTTGTCGCCCGAGTAGTCCCACACCCTCTGCGTGACCAGCTCGATCGAGAACGTGTGACTCGTCTCCTTGTAGTGCTCAAGCGCGTGCTGACCCGCGTACCTCCCGCAACCCACGTAACCGCAGATGAGGCACATCCACAGATCGTCCGCAGCCCCACACAGCAGGCAGGTCATCCCTGCTCCATGCTCACTCTCGCTCCTCCCTCCTGTCCTCTAATGCTGCATTCTCACCCGATTGGCTCTCGGGTAGCTGACAGTATCGACAGACCTGCATGTTTGTCAGGTGGCTGTGGGGAAGCTGCAAGGGGCGTACAGGGCATGACGAGTCCGGCCAATCGGACAAGCATCTGTGCACAAGTTTAGGAGAGCAGCAGGAGCAAGAAAGATTCAACTTCACCTGCAATGAAAGGAATGGTTGCAGATGGTTGTCATGATCCCTGTCACAGACGTGTCGAGTCGTTCCAGGCAAACCTGAGAGATGAGGAACCAACGAGTGCGGGTGTCGAGCATGTAGAGAAAGAGAGAAGCAGCCAACCAGAAAGAGGAGAAAGAGCTTCATGTCATGTTTCATAGTCACACCCATGACAACTTCACCGGGCACGAGGGAAGTTCAGTCTGTCCTTCTGCTGGAAAACTCAAGTCCTGCTCCAACCATCACCACAGAGCACCAAGGCTCATCGCTCACAAGACAGCCTCCCTCCACCCCATTCACCTTGTCGGTCCCACGAGCCGAAGGAGCGGCACTATGAAACTTGGCAGCGGGGTCTTGCTCCAAGAAGACGATCTCTTGCACGAACAGCACGATACATCGCTCCGTGTCCATGGAACTACGACCATGTCATAACCCTGATGACATGTTGCAAGGCGTCAACCTGTACGGCTTCCCGTTGAACTCGATGTACATGGCATCTGCACTGTTGATGAAAGAAAGTGATGAGCACAAGATTGCGTCACATCGACATGGCATGCCTTCGCTGGCTGTCGAAGTCCATCAAGACGATGTACCTTGCTCGTGAATCGTCATGCACAATGCGCATGTGAAGTATGTTCTCCATGAGAGGGCCCAAGAATCGGCAAAAGTCTGCTATTGTCATGAACATGGGGACAGCTAAGATGCAAAGCTGCGTGTTTCTTTCTCTTGACAAGCTCCCATCAACATTGCTCTTGCAAATACGGACCTTGCAGTAAATGAGCCCACAGCATGTTGCAAGCATCGTCACCTGGCCCTTGTACTGCTGCACAGAAGGATTTCCTGTAAGAAAAACAAGTTGCTCTTGACCATTCGAGTTCACAAAACTTGTATGATCTGACTGAATCTCGTCCAAACGTTCAAATCCAATTGTATACACCGATGGATCCTTGGGAAGCGCAGAGCTATACTCCTCAGGAGACAGGGAGTGCGGTGTAATGAAGGAGCGGCCTTTGTTGACCCTCTTGTCGTCTCCCTCGTGACCTGCATGCTCCGCGCGTGTCTTTGCATCCCCTGCCCTCTCTTTTGCGTGGGGCAAACTAGCTGCTGTCCCAGGAAAATTTCCATCTTCCGATTCTTGCGTGATGGATCCGACATGGGGGGCAGTACTATCCTCTTCAATGGCCATGTCACGTCGCTTACCTCCGCCCACTTTTCCCTCCTCTCCCTCCTCTCCCTCCCTCCCTCCTCCTCGACGACAAGCATCTACTTGCCGCAGCGCTGCCGACATTTGCAAGCAAGCGAAAGTTTGCAGATCTCTTCTCATTAATAATACTTTTGAAAGTTCAAAGTTACTGGCCCCCGCGGCGCAGCACAGCCCGGGTGCAGTTCAGGCCCGGGTTCAAGGGAACTTGCCGTACGGTAGTACGGTAGTCCGACTGTAGTCACTCGGAGCCTCGGAGCGTGCGAGGCGACGGAGTGGGAGTCGGAGACGGCGGCGGCCCACACAGTGACGCACGGTCACGGTGACCCCCGCGGCACCGGTCCGTCGGAGCCGCCGGGGCCGCGCCCGGCCGCGGCGGGCGCCGGCCGGGGTGCGCCCGGCCGCGGGCGGCCTCCCGCCAGTCAGCTACTGGCACCGTCTCAGGCTTTGGGATGACGAGTCAGCAGACAGGCTAGCAGAGGCAGCCCCCGGCGGCCTCAGATGAGGCGGCCTCAGATGAGCCGCTCGCCGGGGCCGGATACTCGGTCCGGCCTGGCCCTCGGTCGCCGGGAGCCGGCCGGGCCGCTGCCGGGAACTTCGGCCGCCGGGCCGGGCCTTACGGTAGAGCTGCCGGGCGGCCACACACCGTCGTGGCCTGGGCACTGAACGGCGCCGCGGTACTGGCCGCGGCCTCCGTTTTCAGGACATTCTGAGGTGAACCCGATCCGAAGGCACACAGCCTCGGTTAAAGTACCCCACCCTCCTTACGCCTGATGACAGTCAAACAAACTATTTACTACTGTGAGGAGCAAAAACGATTGACCCTACCCTACCCCTAAGTCAATCCCACCCCCCTCCTCCAGGTTCCCAACTCCGAAGGGTTCTGTAACCTCACAAGCAAGGGAAGTCAAACCGCATCTCCTTGCAATGGGGGGTGGGGGTGGGTCCAAGTTGTTTTTTGTGGTGGTGAATGTTCAAGGGTAGGGTAGTAGTAGGTGATTCCTTGTAAGGATTTGGGAGGGGGGCGGTAGGGTAGACCCCAAGGGGGTAGGGGTGTATAAAAGAGGTCGTCAGGGCATCTAATTCAGACTTGACCAAGGGTGGGGTGAGAAAGTAGTCTTGATAGATGGTAGGGGTGGATGAAAAGTGCTGACTGGGGGTAGGGGTTCCAAGGTCAGATATCAAGTTATGGCTGTTAGCATATGCTTCATGTTGTTCTTGCCTGTGCGATGCTCGCGATGTATTTCTCCTGCTTCTTCACCTCGTAAGCTGAAACTGATAACCTTATCTTGTCAAGATCTGTTCTGCTGACTCTGTCTTTTCTGTGCTGCTGCCTCAGTTTTAGAGTTAACAGTGGATGATAATCTTGAGTAAGAAATCACTCGGTTTGGTTCGACCCGCCTATTGTCGAAGCAGAATCTGTTCCAGAGTAGTAATTCTTTGTCTCACTCATTGTCCATTTCTCATGATTTATCGAAACGGTTTGTTGATTTTTCTGTTTACAGGTGGTATTGCAAACTTTCAACTCTGAGTGGATACAGACATGCCTGTTCTCTTGACAACTTGTAGTGGGCTGCTTTGTCATCGTGTAGATTCAGCATAACATGAATCCTCCAAGCATTTCATCTTGGAATTCACCTGACGGCATTGATAATGATACAAGGGCATCGATGCCAGTAACCTTGAGACATCCAAGGATGCAGCTGAAGCCTTTGCCGTCGCCTGCATTTCTGAATGTCAAGCAAGAGAATCGCCTCAGTATTTCATCCGGCCTTCCAGGGCAGATCAGCGATGTAGCGAAACTTCAAAATCCATCCAGTCTTGCTGCAGAGAGCTACTCGTCTGTCAACGAATCAGCGGAATATGTGGACGAGACACAGTTTGTAGACTCGAAACTGCATGGCCGACTAGCATCCATCATGTCGAATGACGACAGAAGAACGTCTTCTGTTCACAGCGACACATCGCAGCAAAGCACTTTCGGGCCGGCGGGTACGAGGAGGCCTTCTCTCGAATCGTTGCCTGAAGCTGAGCGAACGGAAAGCTTGTCTTCAAAGGTGGCGAAGTTCACAGGAGGAAATCTTCCCGACTTCTCAGCGTCTCAATTTCTCTTTGATGTAAGGACAGATCATTCACACGTCTCTCTCTGACTTTCTTGCTGCTCAGAGCCGAAAAGAAAAAGTTGCAGCTCGATGGTCGACCGCCAGCTGGTATGCATCACAAGAGGCGAGCAGGTTGAGGGATGAGAAGACTATGACTTTTCAATCGAGCTTTGAGAACAAACGATTTCAGCAATCTAGCAGCAGTTTCGCGGAGTCAAGGAAAGCGCTATCAGTGAAGAGCTCCGCCAGCAATCGCTCTCTCAGAGTGGTGGAACCAGAGCCAACACCGCTTTGCAGATCCCCATCAGATCCTGATCTTAATGCGCCACCTGAAAAGCTGACCAAGAACTTTGTTTCCTTCGCCAAAAAAGAAGACTTGCCCAAGTTGATTCCTGTCGAAACGAAAAGCTTGCACCATTGTTTTCGATCAAACAGACTACAAACACTTTGTGAGAGAATCTCAAGATCCTGGATGTACGTTATCTTTGACACGCTGGCTGCATACTATATCCTTTTTGCGATTGACATTGGTTTCCTTTGCGGCTTGCATGTGGTGGATTACACCTACTTGTATGGTGTCAACTTCGTATTCTTCTTGATTTATTTGATGAAGCTTCTTGTCGACATTTTCGTAGGAAGCATCAACTTTTGCCTGTACAGATTTGCGTTAGACTTATTTCTTATCATCTCCATCCTCCCAGACTTTGTTTGGTTCATTCTCAAGATTTCGCTCAAGGATGTTCTCTATTGGAGCGATTTACAAGCAAATTTTGTCTGTCTGAGAGTGGTTCGAATACTGAAGGCAGTCTTTGTTTCTGGTCGGATCTTGAAAAATCTCAATCAAAATTCTTTAGGGGAGTACACAAACAGCTCGATGCAAAGCAACCTTTACCAGAGGATGAAGAAGTACATCTTCTTTTGTACCATCCTGGTCGTCTTGGTGTCCCTTGGAGGAACTTTAATGCGATCTCCTTACGATTTGGAAGGGATAAGTCTAGAGCCTCCCATGAAACTTCTACTTGCAACTTTCACGACAAACCGGCCGGCAGCAGAATCACTGATCAAGCAATTTGTGTCAGACATGACAAAGCAGAATCTCAACCTGATGTATTTTGATCTTGGGAACAATTACACTTGGGGTTCCCCTCTGTCAGACAGCGACCTCGGATTATTTCCCAAGAAGTTCGTGGAATTCAATTTCACCTTTGACTATCAGGGTTTGCCTGCGAGGGTGTTGGTGCAGATGGATGTGAGCCTTGTGACACAGGGTGAAGCGCTTTTCCGCTTCATTTCATCGTTAGGGTTCTTCATCATCTTGCTGGTCATGCTGCTCAGTCTTATCTCTCTGGTGCGAAGTCAAGTGGTAGCTCCTGTCATGTCCAGTATAGAAAAGCTCAATGAGATCGCAAAAGATCCCCTCACGCCTCTGCGAGATGAGACGAAGAAGAGCAAATTCTTGGAATTGGTCAAGATTGAAAGTGCCTTGATCAAGTTCGGGATGCTCCTGCAAGTCGCCTTCGGAGAGGCAGGGTCTGATATCATTCGTGAGTGCATCACCAAGGATGGGCTGAACTACAACAAGCCTGGCAAAGTCGTGCAGGCTTTCTACGGATTCTGTGACATCAGAAGGTTCACCGACCTGACAGAGATCATGCAAGCCGATGTCGTGAAGCTAGTCAACAAGATTGCTCATCGCGTCCACTCAGCTGCATTGGAGAATTTCGGGGCTCCGAACAAGAACATCGGCGACGCTTTCCTGGTAAAATGATTTTGTGCTATTGATTTGCCTTGACGCAAAATGCTTGACCCCAGCTGATATGGAAACCAAAAGGCCAAGTGGCGATCAGCACAGTTGCCGACTCGGCACTCAGGACATACATCCGCATCATTCTGGAGAACTACAGCGACCCTTACCTACGGCAGGTCGCAAAGAGCGAAGCTGTCCAGCAGCGTGTCCCCGGCTACTCGAACTGGCTTGGTTTTGGCCTGCACTACGGATGGTGAGTGAGCTAGACACTGGCCTTTCATCAGAAGTGACGCTGTGAACGAGCCAGGTCGGTAGAGAGCAGTATAGGAAGCAAACACAAGATCGACATCTCCTACTTGTCTCCACATGTCAACTTGGCTGCAAGGCTCGAATCGGCGACCAAGCAGTACAAGACGGAAATTCTTTTGTCTGAAGACGTCGTTCGCCTCCTCAGCCCCAACGTCAGGAAGCTTTGCCGACTCATTGATCGAGTGACCGTGAAGGGGAGTGTGAAGCCTATCTTCCTCTTCACCTACGACGTTCCGGAACACGAGGCTGTCAAGACCATCACCCTGTCGCAGGAAGACTCCATCACTGACTTCTACCAGAAATTTCCTCCTCGACTTCCTCATCGCCACCTGCAGGATTTCGACGTGGCAGTCTCCAGCTACCTCGGCGGGGAGGACGGGAAGTTCGCCGATTGGAGGCTTGCCCGGGAGCTTCTCAAGAAATGCCTCAAAGGAGGCGAGCGTGATGGTCCAGCCGAAGCCATTTTGAACTACATCAGGAAACACTGCGACGACTCCGGTTGCGCTCCTGCTTCTTGGACAGGTTACCGCGAGCTAGAGGAGAAGTGAGTCCCCGCAAGTAAACACAAGAGCAGCAAGACGCTTGAGTTAGCAAGAACATTCAAATCTGATCTCTCAGTCACCTTTGCATTCATTCTTTCAACAGCTAATTTACACTTATTAAACTCTCGAATCTCATTAGATGTTTCCTCATCCTCTCGCTCAAGTAATGTTCAAGCTTCCAAGGCTGAAGGTCCCAATGACTATGCAAGCCTCAATGAATGCAACTGGTGCTGAGAAGAAAGCCCAGATATACCAGAAGTTCAGGTAATGCCTGCTGGATGTGTCATTGCAAAACAACAGTTGATGGCACCGACCATGTTTCCATGATGGCCACACAAGAGTAAATGCATCCAATTGTATGAGAGATGATGACAAGGATCGTGTGCGATGGAATGAACATCGAGAACCCAAACAAGAAACCTGGGGCACCAAAATGTCACCTAACCGATCACTTTCCGTTGGAAGTTGCAAAAGACCTGCTAGATTGAAGCAAATACAAATGATATGCAAAGATAAAACCAAGTTTAGAGATGATTTGTATGAATCATAGCTTGTCTGTGAGTAGGTCGAAGGCAAAGATACGATAATGTTGTCTGCCATGGTAGAAAACACCTAAACAGGCATTCGTCACGATCAAGAATGATGACGGGCACAAGACCGTCTGCGAAGAGGGAAGAAGGAGAGGGCAGGGGGCTGGAGGAGAGAGGAAGAAGATTACTGAGATTGACGCACCATCATCACCGAAATGAGAAAGCAGATCGACGCCATGAACCTCGTCGGGATCAGCGCGTCGAAGGCCTTCATGGCGCCACTCCCCTGGCGGAGCCTGTGAAATTTTAGTCAACAAATAGGTTTCAAAAACTGTCCTTGATTTCAAATTTTGCTTAAAACAGATTTCATCCTGGTCTGATCGGCAAGAGTAACCTGGCCATCTGCTAGTGTCGGAATATCTTCTTTTTCAGTCCATAAAAGAGTTCATCTTTCATGCAATGTGTGCCGGGGCCGTCGCACCGACACGCCAGCATGTGGCGCAGGTGAGGAGGAGGAGAGACGCGAGGGCAATCGACGAGCGATCATGCTCCCTTTGAAAGGATCTTGATGCTGTTCTTGTGCAGATAGCTACTCGAATATGCTTCGTTGCTGTTATGGTCGATTACATAGGCGTAGGTATGATGAGAACTTTACTTCCCTTCTACGCCAAGAAGCTGCAGGGAGGAGCCTTCTTGGTAGGCAGCCTCGAGGCAGCCTATGGAGTAGGACAAGTGATTGGAGCTGCGTTTCTCCCTCGAATGAGTGACACGCGAGGGAGAAAGGTCGTCTTAATCATATCCTTCCTGGGCTCTGCTGTGGGGTACTCGTTAGCGGGCATTGCGAGCTCGTCTTGGCTGCTTCTTGTCTCAAGAATTCCCGTCGGCCTCTCCAAGCAGACAGTCGCAGTCTCACGAGCGATGTTCGCCGACTGTGTTCCCCGAGAGTCACTTTCTCCTAGCTTGGCGCGTCTCACCTCCCTGATGGGCATGGGCTACACCATCGGACCCTTCGTAACGCTTGCATGTCTGTCACTTTTGTTCTCTCATCTCCGCTTGTCAGCTTGGGGGATACTTGAGCGACTTGTACGGTGACTCGGTTCCTGCTTTCGTCGCAGTGTCTCTCTTCGCTGTGCTTATTCCTTTGTCTGTGCTCTACCTTCCGGAAACGAACCCGTTCGTGGCATCGGGAAGCAAAGTTGAAGACAGCTCTGAAGAGAGACAAGCGGACATGCTTGATCATAAGCCTTACACGAGCTCCGATGAAACAAAGCGTCAAGCTCGTCGAAGGCTACTTGTGATTTCGATCTCCGCTGCTCTTGCTTTCTGAACAAACTGTAGCTGCTGACAAGCATCTTGATGCTGCCCGAGCTGTCTGTGATTGCATATAGCGGAGCAGGTGAAACCTGAAGAAGATGAAGTCATCTAGTCATGGAAGAGCGTAGGTCTGAGCACTTTAGTGCCTTCTCTGGGGAAGGGAAGAACCTTCCTTGGAGTCTTGAACTCGACCACAGCTGCTATAGCAGCATTGCATTCGGGTTGATCCCCTCAATACTCATGCGACTGCGTTGACATTGCGAGCAGCGTTCATGATTCCATATCTTTCTGCAACATTAAGAATCAAAGATAGGTGAGGTTTGCACGTTGGTTGAAGATGTAGCCAATGACGTTTCGGGAGGCATCTGATCATGACTGGTTGCTTCTGCTTTGCCTTGGGTTGTTTCCTGCTTGCTTGTTTCACAAACGTGACAGGTAGAGTCTGTTTCCTTGGGTCTTTCTCACCATGTGGCAGGCATTATAGTCACCTGCCCTGTGTTCGCTGTCTCCCTCTCTCTGCTGCGGAGGTTGGATCGAATGGCAGGAATTGACGTAACGCTATCCATGCAGTTGCCAGGCAGCGTTTCTTTCTAAGCAAGCTCCGCTAGAGATGCAAGGAGAAACTATGGGGATTCTCGACTCTGCAAGGTTGTGTATTGAAGATCGAAAGACCATGACCTCGTGCCTTCAGCTCCTTGTGCCGGGTTGTGGCTCCCCTCCTGACCGGTCTCATTCATATCATCTTGAATCTCCATGCTGCTGAAACTTGGTCTGCAGGCTTTCTGGTAGAGGTGGTGGGAAAATCTTCGCCGTATTGGATGGCAGCGATTCTTTGCTCAGTTGGGCTAGTCCTGCTCTCGGTTTGTAATGATCATCAAGAGCAAGTGAAGAGAAAAGATGAATAGAGGCAGTCTAGTCTGTGTATTTTACAAATATGATCCAATCAAAGAATACTTCAAAATCTGTCTTGATGTATAGGTCGAAATTTCATGTCTTGAACATGTCTCTTATGATGTGCTTTGTGTGTCCTTTGGCTCCTGTAAATCTTCTGTGTCTTCAAAATCAATGGACGATGACAATTTTAGCACTCCTTGCTTCTCCATGCTCGTGACAACCTCTTGAGCATTTAGGGCTTGAACCTGATGCTGTGGAGATTCATCGCTATCTCTGCTCGCCGCGCCACCTTCTGAGGAGAGTGAAGACAATCGTGATAGGATGCTGCTGATTCTCGATCTTCCTCTTCCTATTGGCGATTCCAATGGAGAGCATGAGCGATTCAAGATTGATCGGAATGTTGGACTTGTTCCAGTCCTGCCGAACTCCGAATCCTCATCCTTATCGGCAAAATGATTTACAAAGGAGAAGAGGAGCGCTCGACTTGATCTCTGAAAGCTGTCGTTGCGTCCTAATTCCGGGTTGTCGTCTTTGATCCAAGCCATCACTTGCCAGTCTTTCCACGACGATGCATCGGATGGAAGCTTCGACAAGATCACATTCATCTGTAGACAAGAGTAAGCTAGGTGCGGTCAACAAGATCACTCAAACCTCAAAGGGGTTGATGATCACTGTGTCTAGCACGGGTTTTTGAGATATGCCAGCTGTTCCGATCCATCGGATGATCCCACGAGAATGCAGAAAGTCGTTGATGATATTCAAATTCATCTGACCCTGCAAGAAGGCATGATTGTCCATCTCCTCCCTGCAGACTGAAATGTAGTCCTTCCAAGGCAGATGAACTCTGCGCTCTTGAGCTAATTTACAAAGGCGATGCTCTATTTTCTCAAACAGAGGATGATTCCACTCGATGACCTCTTCCAACAGAGCTTTTACAGCATCCTTAAAACAATTTCAATCGAATAAACAAGACATGGTTGATACCTGTATTTTGTTACAGAATTCATCCCAATGGGATGACATGCTTGAAAGATACACAACTTCTGCCTCAAGGAGCTTGAACGACTCCTTTCTCATCCTCCAAGCTGAAACGTATGATTTCACGATTTCATATCTTCTGAGCACTTCTTCTTCATCATCCTACATCATAGGTCACTTTGGACCACAGGAATAACAAAGCACTTGCCTCGGACTCAACCACCAGAGCAAACAGTATAACACACTGCGTCATGGACTCTGCCAAAGAGTCCAGGTTTGACCACATGCTTACTTTGGTTTCCAGAGATCCAGAGCAAGACAAGACATAGCAGTATACAGCATCTTGCACAAGCATGAATTGTCTGCAGGTAGCGAAACGTGCGGCCCCAGAAAGTTTCATGAGAGAGAATTTGTACATGTTGGAGAACTCAGGGGTCCACTGAACTTCTCGAGGGTAAGCAGTTTCTTCTTGGGGTGCCTTGGCAACAACCTGACCATTTGTTCCATACTCACACACAGACGAGTGATTTTTAAGTTTGGAAATGAGCAAATCTTTAGCATCGTCATTCTCTCCTATCAAAATCAAAGAAAGCCTGAAACGATCGTTCTTCACCTTGCACTGCTTCAGATATTCAATGACGTCTTTGGTGTTGTCATCTGCTAGGTACTTTGGAGGATGTATCAAATTATGGCAACCTTTCAGATTCAATTTTGCGAGATTCGGTCGGATCCAAAGATACTTGCCCTCCTTTGTTTTCTCCAACAATCCTTTGGTTGGAACTTTGCGAAAATTGTTTTCGCCAAGCTGAATTTCTCGCAAGTTTTTAAGCCGAAACAAGACCGAAGGAAATTCGTTCAATCCACAACCAGATAGATCAATGCTTGTGCATGGTGAATCTTCTACCTTCTTCAAATCAAGCTTGGAAATGATCTGAGCAGCGAATAGCGCTTCATAGTTCTCCATGTTCTGTGGTAGTATATTAACGTTCTTTTTTTCCAAATTTATGCCATTCAGAATTCTGAGGCAAGTATTTGTTATCACCACTGAAGTTATCATTTGTCTGCCTCGTTTGTCTAAATCAATCTTTTGTACGTCCAAGGAGATCAGATGGGTACGATAGCTTGAGGTCTTCAAAACTTCAACGAACCTTTGGAGTCCCTCATACTCGATTTGCGAAATATCGAGATGAGTTTCGAGCACTGGATTTGACGAGATCGAGAGCTGAGACACCAACTCCAAGGCCCCGATAGCTTCACTGAAAGCATAAATCGATCTTGAACCAAGATTATTATCTGAAACGTCCAATCTAGTCAATCTGCTGTGCTTCACCAGCATCCCCACCAAAGACCTCATGCCATGAAACCCCATGTGGTTCCCTTTTAGATTCAAGCTCAATAGAGTGGTGTGGATCGAGAAGGCTGTAGCAAACGACTTGATCCCATCCGAACCCAAATCATTGTTACTCAGATCCAACGTCGTCAAAGGTGTCCAGAAGAACCCAGCCATCAAAGCTTTGATACCTTCACTCCCTATGCGATTGTATGCTCCACAACGCCCGCCAATGTCAAGTTCGACCAAAGTACTCCTCCTTTCTGTGAGGATGTTGACGAGAGCACGTGAACCACCCAAGAGGAAAGAGTTGCTCGCAATACCTAGATAGGTTAGGCTAGGAAGAGCTCCAACGTCACTGACAATCCATTGTAACTTTTTCAAGAAGTCTGGTCCATCACTGCTTTGATAGGAATACTGGCGAATATTACCAGAAAGCTCCAATCCTTGCAATGATGTTATCTCCTTCAAACCCTGCCCTAGAGGAACCAATCCATTGGATGAGATCTTGTTTAGAGACAAGTCCAAATACTTGAGCATTGACAATGCAGGGGTAGATAAGGCTAATACTTCCACACCAGCATCGCCAATTTGATTGTCTGCTAAAGACAAATGTGTCAACCCAGTGAGCTCCTTCAAAGATTGACTTAGTGCTATCATGCCGCTATATCTGATATCATTCTTGGCCAAGATCAGAGTTTGCAGAAATGTACAAGTCTTGATGGCTTGTGCAAAATACCTCCTTGTTCCTTCACTTGTTATCCAATTGTTAGAAATATCTAAGGATTGAATCGAATTTTGCGAACTGAGACCGTAACAAAAATCGGACAAAAGACTGAGCTCAAGTCGATTTCCAGTTCTCACTACGAGAGTGTTAGGGGGAATTACAACATAAGGAGAAGTAGAATATTTCTTGAACAACCACCTTCGAGGGCTGGCAGCGGGGTCGGAACCTGATGTATTTCTGAAGAGCAGCGGTTCCTCTGATTTCTTTCTAGAGGTTTCAACAGTTTCTACCTGACGTCGATGAATGCTCTGATTCGGTGATTTCTTGATCAGTGGAACTTCCGCAACGTCACACAACCGTTTGATTTCTCGTTGTAATGTTTTGATGATTGCTGGAGGCTTTACTACATCTCTGAGAGGAGAATCTTGGAATTCTTCAATCAACGATTCATCTGACATATTCCATACATCGCGAAGTTGAGATTCACAATCATCAGTCATCTGATGCGCTTTTATGGTCTCACGAAGTACTGTCAATTCAGAGGCTAGATTGTCTTGTTTCAATGCTCGTTGTTGGATCAGCTGATTTAAAGTCATCTTCAAGAAATTCAAGGTTTCCTGATCAAAGTGATCCTTATTGACTGTCGAAGAACTCTTTAGTGTCTTCTGGATCCTTCGCTTAATTTCTTGGTATTGGTTTTCGATATCAACGAGTTCCAACTTTCTGGCTGTAAACGAGCTTGCGATTGCTTCCAAGTTCTCTGGGGAGGTCAATTCATGTCTGATTCTCCGTATCAAGGAGGGTGATTTGTATTTAAATGGGCTGCTGCGACTGTCAGTGTAGGTATCAAGAGAACTCCTTGAATTCTGTGAAACGTTGTCAAACCATGAATGCAAAGGATCCTGTTGCATCACCTGTCCGCCTAATAAATCGGGAAGCTCAAAACCTGCAAACAACATATCAGATCGAGCAAATTGTTATCGCGAATTACTTGAAGAAAATGAATTTTCTCCCAAGCTCTTCATATCGTCCTCCTCCTTCAGCCATTTTTTCTTGGAGGATTCTGCTGGGCTCTCGTAAACAGCAACTTGTTCCACCCTTCTTGTCGAAACAGGAGGAAACCGTGCCAGAGGATTTCGCCAAGGTTGTTTATCAGGGTGCGGACTCTTAACACCTCCTTGCCTCCACGTCAATCTGATGGAAGATAATCGAGAATGCAGGTTATCTTGCCTCTGCATTCTACTTTTGGAGGAGTTGTATCTTTGCAAAACTGATCAAGTTCCAAGGGTTTCATGTCGATCAGAATCATGATGAGAATGGACACCAGCGTCCAGGAAGGGCATCGTAGCAGGAGACTTTCACAAGAATCAGGATGAAGCTTCGGTCTACCTTGTTTCAGAGCTCTCCTCGTCTGCCCATAGGCACGACCATGCGGGACTAATCAACTACCCCTCTTTCCCTATTGCTTTGAACCCGTGCTGTGCCTCAATTTATCAACTAACCTACTAAACCCCCGACGTCAGTTGAACCCTCCTCTCGACCCGAGGCGGCTCGCGGCCCGCCGCCGGGGGGGGGGTGACTGACTGTCGGCTGATGGGACTCGTGATCAGCCATGCAGTTCCCTGCCCCAATTGGGCTACTCTAGTCCAACTCGATTCCTACCGGAAGGTTTCTTCTCAGGAAGCTGCTGTGTCTCTCACTCACTGAGTCAGGTCTCCTCATGTCGCCGCCCTTATTCCATTCATTCCTCACCTGCCTCGGCCGCTGATCCTCTCCTAATAAGTTTGAGAGCTGCATGTCGACTCGGTCTTCGCTTCTGTTTCCATAGGTCACCTTTCGTATCTACTGCAGGTCTAACTGCTTACTGCTTGCAGGGTGCTGAAGTGGGACTCTCCCTCCCCCGCTTGAACCTATTTGAGAGCCCCATCTCACTCTCTTGCCCTATCCATCCCGACCCCTGTGATCCCCCATACACGCACGATTTCTTTGCTCTCCCTCCGGTTGCTTGTTGTTCCTCTGCTTCCTATCTGCTACGCTGCTTTACGTTTCTCTCATCTTCTGCCCGTTCTTTGCTGGATTCAGACTCTGTTCTGAGCTCTTCCTCTCCTCACTCTGCACTTGTAAGACTCTGCCATGCATCCTAATGCTGCTATTTACTCACATCTTATCCGCTAAAATACTGCATGTTTACATTACTGCACTTTCTGATACTTACGTGGCATTGTTGAACCAATGAACGTCAAGGGTCGAGCCAGAAGTCAAGCATGCATGTAGTCCGTGATGTCTTACTTGCTTTCATCTTGGAATTATTATTATTGAGAGTTCTATTTGCTAGTCGAATCTATCATTGAGTCCTTTTACAACGTTTGCTTGGTGTAGAAATTGGTTGAAGAAGGTTGATTGGCTTCCCAAGTTTTTTCCTTTTTGATTTCCCATACACGTCGAATTCAATTCAGCATGATGAGAATTACCGATGAGAAGCGGTCACATTTAGATTGAAAAACCATTAAAACCATCATCTTGACGTCATTAACCGGAGAGTAACTGATTGGTTTCCAACCAGATCGCTCTTAGGAAATTATATTACGTCAAACTTCTCAACCTTGTGGCCGTTCCAAAGAAATTCATGCAACTTGACAAAGAAATTGTCTACCACTTATGTGTTCTACCGATCCAAATGCATACATTCAGAATAACCCTTTGACGCAGCCTGAAAAACATCTTTGGTGCAATTTTCATTTTTCAGTTTCGTCCGAAGCTGGTGCATCCTGTAAATCTGAACAAGCATGAAGGGTTTGATTGGCTCTCAGTTCTCAAGAGACTCTTGTTTCAAGTGTCAGGAGCGCTCTTGCATGCTTTAACGAAACGGCATCCCCTTCTGATTGCAGCGACACGGTGCGACGACATTTTGCGTGCAGCCCTTCACAGAGGCCACCACGGTCCAACCCACCCCAAAAATACCCAGAACTAGAGCCCAAGGTGAACATCCAGATATCAAGGGCACACAAAAGCGAGACCTCAAAACCTACCCTACCCCTTGTGTGCACACACCATGTGGTGCGTGTGCACCTGGGTCCCAGGTTAACGTGTACATGTGTACACAGATCTTTATTTCTAGTAATCTTGGGTGTACATGAAATTAATTCTGTGGGCAATTGCTCAGTACGCTGAGGCAAGCTTGCAGTGGTGAAGATATTCCCGCCTGCCATGCCGCGGACATCAATGCGAGCAGCTATTCACCCGTCACAACTCACAAGATTGCAACGAACAATGTGATAAGAAGAGATCATTGTGAGTGCTTTCAAAGGAGCAAACGTCCAAGAACACACCCAGCTAAGAAATCTTGTATGAAGGGAGTTGAAGTGGACAGCACGAATGGACAGAAGCATAAAGACGGCAAAGTGGTCAAAGCTCAAACAACAATGATGCACAGCAACTACATAATCAAGATCAAGGAGATGGACAAGAGGGAAGCAGATGTCGACATCGGTATCAAAGTGAAGCGGCCAGATTCGCACGAGTGGCAAAGGAGATAAAGTCTTGCAACAATTGATCGTCCATCTCTGCTGTCTCAATCTGTGCCGTAGTGGCATCAGATAAGATGGTTCTAGGCAGACTCTCCGGTGCATTTTGATTCTCCATTCATGAGGTGCTGTGTGGAGTTGTGAAGCCATCCAGTAACTGTCGTTTGGTTTATATTCGTAGTCTAACTACTCAGTACTGAATAAAGTTCTGTGTGAGCCTTGAGGACAGATGCCCTGGAGGCAAGCATAACAACGCGAAATAAGACTCAGTGTGCCGATGAGACGGGGCTTTGTGCAGCAACTACTCCCCCTCCCCCCCCCCACCCCCACCGCCGCCGCCGCCGCCGCTGGGGTGCAATGCACCGAGTGAGAAGGAGCAGAGAGAACTTGATATAGGCCAAGTAAGCACTCAGTCTTCTCGTCGGTTCTAATTTGTTACTTGTCTATTACATGCTATGCACAATATGTCCTTAACTTTGAGTAGAGATGTCAAATGATCCTTCCCAAACTACACCGGGTGACCATAGCTCATGTACATGAGACAGATTTATTGCCAGGTACCATGCCACTTAATTGTAATGAAACGTGAGGAGACAACTTTTTGCGAATAAATCATAATTTTTATCTGTTTTGCGAATAAATCATTATTTTTATCTGTTTTTATAAATCAATTTATAATTTCAATGATTTTTATATTCAATCAAAAAATCTGTTCATTGCTCTTTGTTTTCCTTACCAAATCCCTATCATATTTTATTCAATTGAAATAATAGCTGCGCATTCGTGCCAATTATTACACA